GATACACGCGAAGATAGAAAAAAAAAAAAAAAAAAAAAGAAAGAGGCGGAGAAGTTCGAAGAATTTGCGTTGTTCGAAGACGAAATAGCGATACACCAGCTTTCATGGTAGAATTCAAAGCTTGCTAGACGTCTGCGCAACTACACTGTGACTCAGAAATCCAAATATAGTATTTCTTCGGCTTTCATTGCATTTTTCATAGGAATAAATTCCCATCCCGTATACTCCTTCCATTCAACTAATCAGACTCGATAAAAATTGATAAATTCCGGTCAGTAAGAGTTGTTCTTATCAGAATAATTCTGCTTGCCATGCTGAATCATTAGATAGTTTTACCGCGTTCATTAAAATGATTAAACCACACATCTGTCTTTTTCTAAACTCTTTCTATCGACAAATAATCTTTAATTTCCGCTCGCAATCAGTACAGTTTCAATCTTTTTTCTCTTTTTTTTTTTCCTAAGTAAAATATTCATCATACTACACACATTTATGTCATGTAATATTATTTATATCTATTAAAATTATTATTAAAATTGTCAAATATTATTTAAATAATATTATTATTAAATAATAAACCAAATATTAAATAACGATATTTAAAAATTCAAAAAGATGATTTTTCATAACTCTTCAAGAATTGGAATGAATGAATCGTTTAAAAATTTAGGAAATTTAACACGAGTCGTGAATGATGAATGAACAATTTCCGTCAAGTAGTTTTATCGACAGCGAGTAAGTAACGCGCGGTGAAATTGAAATCGGACATAACTCCTGCCAACTATAAACCCACTATTTTATGGAAATTGTAAATAACGTGGCAGAAACTCGTTAATACCGTTATACTCGATGTATTACGAGTGCGTGTATAAGCGTTGCGTTACCAAATGCAGAAAAAAATTTCAACGCGCTCTGCGATTATTTATCCACGGGAACACAAGCGTTTAATCGTTCACCATTTTCCAACGTCCCGACGAGATCCTCGGAATTAAAAATTATGCTTCTCATTGGTCAACCGTAATCAATCCTATATTTTTTCGTACGTCTACGATGAATTTAGACAAACCGGCGGAACAGGAGATTCAGATTCACGGTTACTAGGAAGTGTTTTTTTTTTTTT